AAACCCCAGTCCCCCTGAGCAGCTCAACACAAAAACCACAGCATCACAACACAGCACCATAGACCATACCACAACTACGACAGACCATACAACACACACCACCAACCACACGCCGCCGCCAAAAACGCCTGGTTCCCCCAACAATCTGCACGGTGTGTTCGATCAGGATATTCCGCATGTTCAGTTCTTCGTACCACGAGAGATTGGACGAGGAATTTCGAGGACCCGTGTTGTGCTTCGCAGTCGCAAGCCCCAACTGCGACGCCGCCCACTACCACCACAGGGCGGCACTTTCCACAGCAGCGCACACAGCCAATGACGGTCAGACAATACATATCCCTCACCCCCCGCATATCAACACGTCTCCCGAGCCACACAAAGCTCCATCAATTCAACTGCAACGGACTTCAGAGCAAGATCGAGGGGATAACCGTATTCATGGGCCGGCATGGAATATTGATAGCTGTGGTCCAAGAGACGAAGTTGCACAGCATCATTGTTGAATTGCGCCGGATACAATGTGCACCGTCGAGATCGCGCGCGAGATAATGGTGGAGGCCTGGCGTTCATCACGCACCACATCGTGCAGTATCGTGTCATCGAAGCACACATCGATCGCAGTGATGCCATCCTAGAATGTCAAGGTATTTCTATCCGGTCAGGCGATGACGAGCTCAAAATATTTAACGTTTATGAACCCCCCATCACATGCTGTGAAATAGGTTCGCTCCTCAGAGATGACAACCGTATGGTAGTTGCTGACTTTAATGTGCACCACGATCGTTGGTATTCAAGCCTGTCAAATGATCGTAGGGGAACACACTTGGCTGAGCTGCTGCAGCTCGCCAGACATAAAAATCGTCAGCGCTGCTCACATAAACAGCATATCATGGCGACCTATGCAGACCTTGGCATCAGACCATCTGCCTTTGTCACCACGATTAATAAACCTGCCGAATTTGCTTCCGCGGAACACCGGACCTATATCAACTTTACTAAAGCTGATTCGAAAGGCTTCGCGGAATTTACTAAAATCACCTTTGCTATCCTCCCCACACCAACCGACCTAAGTACGGACGGGTTGTCACTCCTGATGCAGCGCTTCGTACTAGCAGGATGTATAACGGACCCCCGTCCAAACTTTTCTGCTGAAGCGGCTGTTCTAGCCGATGAGCGTGGCAATCTTCGTCAGGCCGATCCCGGAAATCCCCCAATCAGGGATGTCAAAACGGGGATTCGACAGGTTGTGAACGTACATAAGCGGAACTTCACCTCTGATGTGAGTAAGATTTGGTGAATCGTGAGGTCACTGTCAAATCCGACAAAGCGCGACGACAGAACCGATATATCTTTAGGTGACCGCGATTCGTCGGATCCGGAGTGATGCGCGAGATATTTTAGCCGGCAATTTACACTGCATCCTCCGGCGGACAGAGCCAAACTTCGAGTGACCAGAAGGCTGCACAAACTGTCAACAATAAGTGCGCTTCTTATTTTCACTTTCGGTTAAGTTCAGGTAGCCATTGGGAAAGCGAAAGCCTCCAAAGCCATGGGACCCGACGGAATATGCATGTTGATGCTGAAAATTTTGGGTCCTGCGGGAGTAGACTATTTAGCCAAGGTGCTCAACCTTGTAATGGCCACTCTCGTCATTCATCGTTCCCCGGATTTGTCGATGGATATTTATAGCAGTCGTTACACCGATCCTCCTATATAAAGCGATCGTGTGGTGGCCTGCGTTAGATAAAGAGGTCAACCTCCGACTTCTCACCAAAGTGCAAAGGTCCAGTCAAACGATGCTCTGAGCGCTCGCTGCTCTTAAGAGAGGCATCAAAATGGCTACCTGAAGCCCAGGGATAGTGAATTTGTGTACAAACAATCTGAAGAAAGATAGAGTCAAAGTACGACTTTTCGAATTTCCAGACAGACGTGGCCTAAATGGGACCGGAAGCGGTTACGAAGGGTATACTCTCTTAGAATAGAGGATATATCTAACGTAGTGGGGTCTAACCGGGCACTGTCTAACAGGTAAGCATGCAGAAAGGTTCGGCGTGCCTTTCCGTGGATGTTGCAGAAGCTGCAAGGACGAAGAAGAGGAGGAAACCGTCTCACATCTCTTATGTAAATGACTTGCAATGTGTAGAAGCAGGCTGCGTCATCTGTGTTCACCATTCCTTGCCGACCTTAGGGAGGTTTCAAATACCGACGCAAGGATGAAATTCATCAGCGACACGAAGTGGTTCAACAGGGAGGATATTTGAACGGCATCAACTATGGTAATAGGCCTTCTATCTATTGCCTAAGGGTGCCGCTAAGGTGGCAGCCACTTCCACCTACCTACGTCCCTACCTAATTAAAATAAATAAAAAATCTGAGTTATTTTGATAACAAGTTTAACGTCTTACTTTGGATGTCGTTCGTACCTTTTATGAGTATAATTCCTTCAGAGCAAAAAAGAGAAATTATAATAATTATAAAATGCGTAAGATTTAAACAAATATTTTCTCTTCATTGGAAATAACCTCTAACAAGTTTGGTTTTGGCACCGTCTAGTTATGTCGAAAATATCTCGAAAACCTTTTCACGACTTATCTTTGCAGAAGTTACTCATACGCCACGTACATATGAATAACACGCTTTTCTGCTCATTTTTTTTCATATACAAAAGTTTTGCGTATTTTCATTTGACCACTCATTATTTCTTTATTTATCAATCAATTTTCTTCATTAGTAATGGATTTTTTGTAGCAGAAATGCAAAAATTTGGCACAGAATCTGTTATTTTATAATTTTTGCTTCTGCTAAAGTTTGATTTCTTTTCCATTTTTTTATAAAAAAAAAACAAAAAACTGGAATTATTAATTAATCTGTCCTTTCGGAAAATGATGTATATACGGTTTATTGGGAATTGTATTGGCTTTCATTTGGCGTATTTCATTTTAAGATCGTTAAATTGGTTCTTAAGATAAACGATTAACGACTTTTTGTTTTAAGCTGTAAATTGCAAATATCTCGAAAACGTATTCATAAAAAATTAACTCGTTTTTCGGAATCATAGGATTGGATAGTGGCGTTTGGAGAACACAAACCAAACTACAATTTGAGATGCAGTGTAATTGATTGCGCGAGCTTACATTGCCTTATAATAAAGGGTGCGATATAACAATTATGAGATTTTATGCTTCAGATAAAAGGCTTAAAAAAGAACAAATATAGCAAACATAAAATGAAATATTTAAATGGAAAAAACAAAATAGCACTAAATTTTCAATTAAAAAGATCCAGATATTTTAAAAATTTAGTTCGCCATGTTGTACTCGCTATTTTAAGAAGAAATGAGACAATTATCATAAATCTAAAGCCAAATGAAGAAAAAATATATTATTATTAGTTTAGTTGTCACTGTTGAGTAAATTAATAAAAAAAATGCCTAACGAAAATCATTCAAGTTTATTAAATAAACTTTATATATGCATATAAAGGTTTTCATTGAAAAATGGAAAGTTAGTTTTTAAATATCAGTAGTTCATTAATTACTATAAAACTAATGAAATAGGTAGCCCCGATATTACTAATTAAAATGACATAAATAATTTGAAAACTAAGACTTTTGGCCACTATAGGGCTGGCCCATACGTTAACTTGGTTTTAATAGTAACGCTGCCTTTGAAAAACCTTCTAAACGGCTTTCATGTGCGGGACAAGATAAAACGTTTTAAAAACTCCAAAGCAAGCTCTTAGAACATAAAAAGGAATTACAAACATAAACCAGTTACGTAGTTTAAGAAAACACCCAAAAGTAATAAAAAAGCATTGCGAAGCTTTAAACTTTTTTGTAGTAAGTTCATCCTCTAATAGAATTTAAATGCTGAATTTTTTTAATGCAGTGTTAATGCCTTCAGACGAAGTAAAATCTGGGCATTTATTTACTACTAAGGGCCGAATTCACAGTGCTTAGTTAAACCATTGTTAACTTAACCACCAACAAGAGTTTAATTATGAATTTATATTCAGAGTTACATAGTTAACTATGGAAATTCGTATCGCCTGAAAATATACAAATTCTTAAAATCAATACATTGCTATTCAAATTTGAAATTCGTTCCACAAAAAAAAAATTATTTCACAAGTATTTAACTATGGGGGCATGCTGGTTTAAATTTTTGTTAACTGAGCGTTGTGAATATGAAAATCGATAGTTAAACTCTTATCAGTGGTTAACTAAGCACTGTGAATTTGACCCTAAAAATTAAAAATTTATCCAATTAATTTTCTTATGTTCAAGTTCTTAATGTAAGATAGTACGTTTCGTAATATAGCACATTAACTAGCCTGGATTGCTACAACTACTTTAAAATGCATTTGGCTTAAAGCACTTCAAAGTCAGAATGTTTCTTTTCCATATGTCTTTTCAACCAATTTAAAATTACTTAGTATTCAATTCTGAAATAGTTAATTGCCCAAAGTAATATGATTTTTCAACTAATATTTAATTATGTGTTTGCAAATGTATCAAGAGTGTAAGTATTTGGTTTATCTCAAGTAGGCTTCTAGGTGATTATACATCAATTTGAAGTTAGTTGCTACATAAGCAGACGTAAATTACTTTTTCTGGGATAATTGGTTGAGCACGTACTGGGTGTACATATTTACATATATGTTTATATCGTCGTTTCAAGTACAAAACCGCGCATTGCTCATACAGGCTCAATCCTTATCCATTCGTCCTGAAATGTACCAGCCAGAAATGCGATTGCTTTATAAAAAAAGAGGGTTACTTTGAAATACGAGTGGTTTTACTCTCAAGAAAAAATTTATGCAACGCAACCCATACGCGATTATGCATTTTGTTGATACGCGGCTTTGTACTTTAAACGACGATATGTTTGTATCTCTGTCATATACATTTATTATCCCCGAGTGAGCGCTTTGGTGTGTATTATACAAAATCTCTATTTACTTTACATTTTCTTATGTTGATTTACCATCGTTTTTTGCAGACGGACAATCTGAGCTGGATGTGCAATTAGTGGTACCGCGGTACGTGGAACGCGGCTCCAGCGCCACTTTTAAGTGCAGACACAACGTACGACCGGAAATCCTATATAAGGTAAGCAAACAGATTTTTTTCATTTACTTATCTATAAGAAACATACGAAATATTTAAAGAGAATGGAACATTTCAAGAACTTGTAATTTCGCCTCGGTGGCTACTTTAAGGTAGCTACATATTTAACCACCACTTAATACAATTAGAACCAGTTAGGTTTTCATTTATTCATGGCATTTTTGTATGCAAAACATGTTACTCGAGAATGAATAGCACAACAGAATAGGAGCTGCAACCTGGGATTTCATGCAAAAAATACCTGCTTACAGGCTTCGAGTCTCGTGCCGTTTTGACAATGAGGTTATCTGGTATATGTACATATGTAGGTGAAATATACATATTCTAAGCATTCTAAGTTTTTTACAATGATATATCTAAATTTTTTTCTTACCAAAAAACGGGACATTTGGCGTCCCGTCATGTGTTGTGGGACATAGCTCAACATCAAGGCGCACGCCAGAAATTGGAGAAGAAGCTCGGCCAAACACAAACATATTGCGTAAGTGCTAAGTGTCTTTTCGTTGTCTTGGTTCTAAAACAAAAACATAACAGACATTTTCAGAATGAATAAAACGCGGAATTTATTCTTTTTCAAATGGAGTGAATGAGCAAAAGGTACAAAATTTCAATATACCAACATTTCTGCAATTATTCACAATTTTTCCAGATATTTGATATCAAAATTGGCCTCCTAACAGATAACTAGTTCAAAATATAAATGTATCTGTTAAAAAAAAAATTGTAATCTTTGGAAACAAGTATTATGCTTAAGTAATCATATTTTTTACCTTTGGAGCTAAATTACCAATATTTAAGTTTTCATGTTGTACTGTACAAAAGATTGTCCTCCACGCTATATCTTACTTCAGAAATTCAAAAAATGCCAAATATCTGTTTTTTTACACTTTAAATCCCAGAGACTTCTACAAGTTTAACCAATTTTAGAATTTTGTGGGTTGCGTTATTAAGATTTTTATAATTCTCAAAGAATATACATACGAACTAACAAGTGATTTATTTAAATCACATGCAAAGAGACTTTAGCGAAATAGCGTGGTAATAAGAACTTTTCAGCAATTAGATCAAGTTAGACGTCACAAAAATTCAGTGGGATCCTCCCACAACTCATGTACATTGTACATACAAAAAAACTTTCCAAAAGCCTTAAGACCTAAAATAAATGGGATTAAAGACGCGTTATTTTAATTGCAATCCATGTCTAATTAGTATAATTAGCTGAATAACGAAACACTCATTAATCGACCTGTTTTTTTTTTTTAATATTTTGGGTTTTTGCAGCCCAATGGCGGCGAAAAGCAATCAAAGGTGAAACAATTAAGAGTGGAAAATAAAAATGTATTAACATGACCTTACATACTAGAGGGCTCCATGAACTCTTTCAAACTTCTAGCCAACCAGAGTACAGTAGATTTGAATATTTTACTTAAAATACAAAACACTCAGCGCTTGGAATTTTGTAAGTTATGAATATACAGTTTGTTTAAATTTTCTACCTTCAAATAGAAGAATGAAAATAAATGAATGAAAAACATTCAAATCATTCAAACTCATTTCGGTAAAAGTTTATTTCTACAAACAAGTTTGTTCCCTGCAAAAAATGGGACTAACCCGGGATGACTCCGGGAGCAATCGCAAAGGAGCATGCGATACCACTTTTGATCTCTTTATATGGAATGAACTGATCGCTTTTGTTCGGGAATGTCCTATGAAGAGACTAATTGTTCACCTTTATACCCGAACGGGTATAAAAAGCGACCAGTCACTTTTAAAAAATAAAAATTTGCGCCAGGTGAGATTCGAACCGGGGTGCTCAGTTTTGTTAGGCGAATACTCTCTCTATGTGCCAACGCCGCACATGAAATTTCATTGACTAAGAGCGTACATATCAATAAATCGTTAATAGTACCCATTGGGGACTAATTGATTTCCAATTATACCCACAAGGGATGAGTCGGGACTAATTGACCTCCATTAGTACCCGTATGAGACTATTTGGGACTAATTAATTCCCAATTGTACCTGATTGAGAGTAATCTCGGAATACTCTCTTTTGAGATTAGTCGCACAATTTTTTGCAGGGTTCGTATTGTAATAGGAGCGCAGCAACACATACATACATACATACATATGTATGTTTGTAGATATGTACATAGAAAAAACGGCAATAACGCAAATTTGTGTTATTTCCCAATTGAATGTGAAATAACACAAATTTGCTTTATTTAATTTCTCGTTGAGCAAAGACCAACTTTTAAACTTTAAAATTGAGTAATAAATCAAAATAGTGCACGTTTATGTTGATGATGCATCTAAGTCGGCTGTAAATAAATGTGACCCACTAGTTTTGCCCGAAGATGTCTACCACCCTGCTATTGAGATATCTTACGAAATTATAAACGATGGTCAAAATTGCGATGTCCAAACATACGAACCAAATATTCGCTTTGATTTTTCGAAAGCCAACTTTAAAAAACTGAATAAAGAATTGTCTAAATTGTCGTGGCCTATATACAAAGAAAAAGTTGAGCAAAGCGTTGCACATTTTAATTTTACTGTACATAGATTATTTGAAAAGTATGTGCCTAAACGCATGTGTGTTCCTGTAGAACAAACACAGTTATGGTTCACTAAAGAACTGAGAAACTTGAAAAACAGAAAGTCACGTTATTTTAGATTACAAAAAAAAACCGGCTTACACTCATACTATGTAAAATACTCACTTTTGCGTCACAAGTTCTTTGAATTAAACAAAAAGTGTTATAAAGATTACTTGTGTAAAATCAAACGACGTATAATATATAACCCCAAATCATTTTATGATTTCGTAAACTCCAAGCGAAATGTACGTGGGTTTCCTTCCGCCATGAAGTATCAAAATACCGTCTCTGGTGATAATCAAACAATTTCTAACATGTTCGCTCAGTTTTTTAAATCCAATTATTCCACTAACTCCCAAGCATACTTTAACTATCCTTTTAAACTAAGTCCAATTAACTCAATACATAACCCTATAATATCTCCCGATGATGTTTTAGTTTACCTGAAGTCCTTAAAGCAGTCTTTTAGTTATGGTCCTGACCAGATCCCCACTTGTTTTCTTAGAAATTGTGCTGATTATCTCTATGAGCCGTTAACAGCCTTATTTAATTTGTCTCTTAAAGAGGGCGTTTTTCCAACTGTATGGAAGGAATCGTTCATAACCCCCTTACATAAAAGCGGTAGCAGGTCTTCAGTGGAGAACTACCGGGGCATAGCTAAGCTTTCTGCAATTCCTAAATTATTTGAAGCAATTATAACAAATCGGTTGACGCATTCTATCACTTCAAGCATTTCATACAGTCAACATGGATTTTGCAAGGGCAAATCAACTTCTACAAATTTACTTGAATTAACATCCTATATCTCAAAAGCATTTAGTGAGAGCAAAACTGTTGATGTTATATATACTGATTTCAGTAAAGCATTTGACAAAGTGTGCCACTCGTTGCTCATCTATAAACTTGATCTTCTTGGTCTTCCACCTAATTTTCTACGTTGGATCTCTTCATACCTCTATGATAGATCACAAAGGGTATTGTTTAAAAATACTATCTCTGACGTCATTGATGTTACTTCAGGAGTCCCTCAGGGTAGCCACCTAGGCCCGATTCTGTTCTTGCTTTTTATAAACGATATTTCTACAGATATAAAATTCTCCAAAATTTTAATGTATGCAGATGATGTAAAGCTTTATAAATCGTACGTTTCAATTAAAGAAAGGTCTTTGCTACAATCAGACTTAAACAGCATGGCTTACTGGTGTAAAGTAAATCTTATGCCTCTAAATCTTAAGAAATGTAAAGTAATGTGCTTCTCGCGAAGAGCTGTTCTGCCAGTTTCTTATATAATAGGTAACCATAACCTGGAACAGGTATACAATTTTGTGGACCTTGGTATCACAATGGATCCTAAGCTTAATTTTAATCTTCACATTAATGTGACAGTCAACAAGGCTAAAGGTGTACTTGCATTTGTGAAACGATGGTCAAAAGAATTTAGTGACCCTTATATCACTAAAACCCTGTTTACAACATTAGTTAGGCCGATTCTGGAATACGGCTCGGTGGTTTGGAATCCAAGGTATCAAATTTACTCAGACAAGATAGAATCAATTCAAAAACAATTCCTACTTTTTGCTTTAAGAAATTTCCGATGGGATTCTCAATATAGTCTTCCACCTTATACGAGTCGCTTAAAACTTATTAACCTTCCTACACTTGCCAGTCGCAGGGAAATGCTTGGTATAATTTTTATGGTTAAATTACTGACAGGCTCAATTTCAAGTCCGTCTCTTCTGGCTGATGTAAGCTTTAATGTTCCCTCACGCGTATCAAGACACTTTTGTCCCATATTTCTGAAAGCTTGTAAAACCAATTTTGAATTGCACGACCCACTCCGTTGCTTATGCCAGGATTTTAACTCTCATTCCAGCACGTTTGATATATCAGATCCGCTTTTCAGCATTAAGAAAGCGATACTCTCCTCTCTCAATAAGTGAATTATTGACATAAATACACAAAATCAGCTGATGAATTTAGTTCTGTAGCTGAACAGTTTTAGATCTCGACACTTAACAAACTCCTGCCTATCGTGACTCGGCACAAAAAAAATTTAAAATATTGGTTCCGTACGTCATGCGGACTGCGCCCCTCGTGCGGATGGGCGGGAATCGAGGGTAAAAACCGTTGGGATATTATTATTATTATTATTATTATTATTATTATTATTATGTGCATTAGGGTGACCATCGAAAATAAAATGAAATGTATGAATGAAATTTGAAGACCTTATCCCCTAAGCTTATCCTTTTTTATGAGAACCATTATTGCCTATTTTTATATTCAAAAATTTTTATTGAGCTTGAGGCCGTTGTCAATGAAAAACTATGATATGGAAAAGCAACAATAACTTTGAAAAAAATGGTAGAAGTGATGGCTATT